CCCCAATCCCCTTCCCCCTTTTTTTCTAGCTATTAGTTAAAATGAGATTTAGGAACTGACCATGGGTTCCTATTTTTCAATTTTATCTACATAACCAAAGAAGCAGGACTTGGCAACTGTTAGCAATATTACCCAATTTTTACTTTTTAAACCATGAGTTCTTTCTGATTCCTTTAAAACGCTTGGATTTTCTTGCTTTATCAGGAATACACAAGCCTAAAATTTGTGAGACCTGATATACAGCAGGATTCTACCATTTACTACTGCTAAAAAGGTCCCTCAAGGAGTCCAGTGTAGGAAGATAACATTAGAGCCTAATGTTTAAGCATATCCAGATTGAGTCTGAAAATGCTCAGATAACCATATAGAGGTGCCATCAGTTTTCACTTTTAAAAATATGATCAGAATTTTCAGAGTCACCTCATCAGCCTTCCCACCACCTACCTCAACTCAACAGCACAGGAGTACAACCACAGTATTTATTAGTATCAGAAACAATTCATATTTAATTCCCCTCATTCTGTTTTGAGTCCACCAAGCTAATCTAGAATCAACACATGTCAAACAGGACAGAGTCAAAGTATTCTACATCGCTAAAGGAGTATGGGGAAGAACTCCACAACTTCTGAGAGGCAAAACTAGTTTTTGAGGGGCCAGGGATTTAGCTCAGTGGTTCCGGCACCTGCCTCGAAAGTTCAAGGTCCTGAGTTCGATCCCCAGTGCCATAAAAAAACAAAACAAGAAAAAAAAAATCTTTAATTTTTGAAATAAAAAGAAACACCAACACTCTAACCTGATGTTATCATTATCAACTCTACAGGCAGCCAGGAGGTCTGTACAGCACTGTAATAATGATTCAGCCCTACTATAGTTAGTGCTACCAACACTTACAAAAGTCTTTTCACTTAGGCAAAAAAGTAGTAATTTCTACTCCTGAAATGCCTAGTTCACTGTCAGTATTTTAAATATAAATACATTTCACAAATAACATTTTTCAAAAAAATGAGTATGGCTCAAAATGTTTTAAATTCCATACAAACAGCTACAATTTTAAATATAACAAAGAATGAACTCCAAAAGGAGAAAAACATCTTTTACATCCTAGATGATAAAGGCAAGAAAAATAAGGATGTATGATCTTAATATATAAACTTAAGTCTTCAAGATGGGTCATGGACACTTAAAATCATGCTTAAACACATACCTTGATATTGATCTTTTTTTTTTTTTTTTTTGGTACCAGGGATCGAACTCCAGTCCTTGCGCTTGCAAGGCAAATGACAGAACCACCGAGCTAAACCCCGGCCCTAAAGATTGGGTCAGACTGCTCAGAGAAACCTGTCTGTATTGATCTTAATACCAAGACCAAGAATGATTAAGTCTCAGTATATTGATTTTTATTTTTTAAAAACTGTTTCATAAATCAGTCACTAGTTAAGTGTATTACTTGAAAGATCTAGCACACAGCTATTAATGCATGTTCTAGATAATATTCACAAAGATAAATTACTCCAGTGTCAAACCCTTTTGGTGGTAGGAAGACAGTTAAGAGTGCTTTTTCTCCTTTACAAACACATTTAGATAAAAAGCAAATGACAAACTATTAAATCCTTCCATCTCTTTTTCAACTCTGTATTACAGATGTTGAGCTTTTAATTTCTTCATACTAGCTAGCATCATTCCCACAGCAGAATGGCTAAACTCAGGGGCTTGCATGGAGTACACAATTTACTGCCCTTGAGCAAGCAAATAAACATATCAACGCTTGTTTCCTTATCTATAAATGGGCAATAGCAGCCCCTAACTCCAAAGGGTCCTTCCAAGGATTAAATTAAATGAACTATCCAAGCAAACAGCTGAGATTCACACTTGGCTGTCACTAAACATTTAATAAATATTAGCTATTATTGCTAGAAAATGTGCACAAATACTGTACCTTCTACAAGTCACATAACTGTACCTTCTACAAGTCAACATAGGCAATTTCAGTTTTTAATCATGACAGTAAAGATCTAAATAACCTATCCAGCCCAAAGACATTCACATATTTAATAGTACACCTTTGTATAATTTAGGTGAAAACTATGGAATTAAGTTTCTTATAAGGAGAAAAGACTAAATATATTACATACCTGGCCCAGTCTTTTTTTTTTTTTTTTTTGGTACTGGGGATTGAACTCGGGGTCCTTGCACTTGCAAGGCAGGCGGTGGAACCACTGAGCTAAATCCCTGGCCCTAAATAATCTTTTTTTTTTCTTCCGGTACCAGGGATCGAACTCAGTATCCCTTGCGCTTTCGAGGCAGGCACCGGAACCACTGAGCTAAATCCCCAGCCCATGGCCCAGTCTTTTAAACCCCCCCAGGCCGACAAATTTTTCTATTCCAAGATTCTACCTTCCTTCAGAGATCAAAAGGACTTACTACATCCTCAACTGCTATATTCCTTTTTTTGCCCTATAGCCCAAAGAAACATATCTATACTCTTAGTGGTTTTCTAAACTGCAGGGGCTTCATCTTCCTCTTAAAAGCCTGACAGGGTGGCTAAATAATACTTAACAATCCAACCCCCGACAATTCTCAGCACCTAGTCTTACACAATATCCTGCTCAAGAGTCAGCTCAGAGAAATTTCCCCAGGCCCAGATAAAATTAAGTCCCCTATGCTCCCAAAGCATTTTGAGTACACATATGCCTCAGCACCAACCTTATAATTAACTAACATGCCTCCTCCAATAGGTTAAATTCAGAGCAAGAGCAGTAATGTGGTTGAAGGCTCCAGCATTCTAGTACACTGCACTTTGCACTTACCAAATGCTCAAGAAATGCTACTTTAACCAGATTCTCTTGTAGGTCAGTAACATCTCTTGCTGGATACCCCACTTCAGAATCTCAACATAATGCTGCTCTCAGTACAGCAGGCTAACGTGATGGACTGATGATTACAACATCAGAAAACCTACTCATCAGCTTCCCGCATTAGAGAGATTCCCGGAACCCAAACTCAAGTGAGCAGGATTATGTACCATCAGAATCAGTGGGAATTCCCAGCACACTACAGAATACCTTCTCATTCAATGGGATTGCCGGAAAGGCTGCAAAGGTTATTTTTATTGTGGACTCTTCCCTAGCCAAGTGAAGTTGAAATACTCAAATAATGAGTGCCCTGATTTGCCTAGAGTTCAAAAATAAAAAGATGTGGGAAAAGCAAGCTAACTTGATTCCTAAAGAACAGTAGCTTCTTAAAAGAATGAACAGGAAGCAGGGGTGGGTCTGGCCACTCTTTGTTTCAACAGATAAAATCTTTTCTTCCCTTCCTACAGCCCAAAAGAAAAGGCCAACGTACCAGATCCAGATGAGATGCTCAACAACCAGTCTTCCTGACAAGTACCCTAAGTTGTGTCTCTAAAGACCGTCATGGGAACCTCAACAACAATGAAAAGTTCTAGTCACTAATACTTTAATTTAAAAAAAATCAATATGCTCAAGTCCAACATTCACACTAGGTGACACGGAGAGCTTACAAACTTTCTGAAGGGAGATACTTTAGCAAAGTACACAAACCGAAATATAAAGAACTCCACAAAGAATGGCTTTAGTTTTAGAGCCATCATTCCCATCATAAACGTCTTATCCCTCTCCTATCAAATCAACAGTTGCCTAAGGGAATCTTTTCATTCTAGAAGCCGAAAAGGAAACAAACGTGAAGCAGAAAGCGAATAACCTCCAAAATAAAGTTGTATTTGCAAAAAAATGATAATAATTCAGTCTCCCAACCTTCCCTCTCTGGTGAGGTCTGTGATTTATACGGCTTTGCTCTGCAGAAAGCTCTTTCTGGGCAGCTCAAGAAAGGAGCCGAGGGAGGGAGAGAAAGACACAGGCACAGAAAGGAGAGGAGAGAGAAAAAGAAAATGGCGCAGAGACTAAGTCCCGACCGTCGACAAGGCGACTTTCCCGGGAGGAATCCCGGCCAGTAAAGGCCGCCTGAGACCCGGTGGCGGGCAAGACGGGGTCTCCGTTGCCCCCTCTTGGAGGGGCCGTGATCTGAAGGAGCTGGGACCCCAGGAAAGGGAGTCTAGAGGCGGCCCGATGGGAACAATGGGGCCGGTGAGCGAGGAGCCGGGACTTAGTCTCTGGGACGCCATGTCTGTCCTCTGCCCGGCTCTGGCCGGGCGCGGGGGAGGCAGCCGGGAACGGGGACTCAGGGAGAAGCAGGGGACACACTCACCATTCAATCGGAAATCCGCTTCGATCTGGAGAGAGAAAAAAGGAGGGAAGATGAAACAACAGGCACACGAAGCCCCCGGGGCGGCGGGCGAGAAAGCGCGGCCAGAGGCCGGGCCCTCCTCGAACCCAGGCGATGAGGGGGGCCCGCGAACGGCCTCCTAGGGCAGGACCCACCCCCCAACTCTTAACTTGGCGGCTTCGCCCGGGGCCTGGAGAGCCGACCTCGTCCGACGGACGGCCCCTGGTCGGGGACTCGGGGCTGTCAAAGCGGCCAGACCGGGGCTGGGGTCTTGGGAGGCCCGGGGTCGGGAGGCCGTACCTGGGAATCGTTGTGGAGATGGTCCCCACTCATATCGACCGGAGTGGCGGACGGGGCGGGCTGCGAGGCGGCGCGGGCGAGACGCGGACGTCCAGTCGGGTTGGCCCGGGCGGTCTGGCTGACGGGGCTCCCGGAAGCTCGCGGAGGCGCGGGTAAGCGGCGACAGCGAGCACAAGACCCCCGGAAAGGCTGAGGCAGCGACAGCGGCGGCGACGCTGACAGACTGCCCGGCGGCGGGTGAGAACAGACCCCAGCAGTTGTGTAACAGCCTAAGTTCGTATTTCGGCCCACTGCGCCTGCGCGGCCGCTTTTAAAAGGGACGTCGGCGACGTCAGAGCTCGCGGAAAGAAGTCGAGGGTTGGCCCCGCCCCTTTGAAGCTTGAAAGGCCGACAAGGCTTTGCATCGCCAGCCCCGCCCCCGACTCGCGCGCGTCGCTGTGATTTGCATAAGGAGCAGACTCCTCCCCAGGCCGCCCACCCAAGCAACCTCTCGTTCCTCTCTGGGCTTTTTCTCTGAGCGCCGAAGCCAAGTGCTACGCGGTACGCAGGCGCCGGTCGGACGCCGCCTCCGGACCCGGTGTGGCGGCGAGGCCACGTGGTGGGCCTTTTAAAGACCGCGGCGGGATTGAGCCAGGCTAGGCTGAGGTGATATTCCGCTTCTCTAGCTCCTTAGAGCTGGGGAAACTCGAAGCTGCAAATAACCTTGGGAGCGGAATCCTACAGCTGTCTCAGCGTCCCGCACGTGCTAAAGTGGCCCGGAGGCGGAGGGCCTGGCTTAGCTGGAGGAGTCTCCGCCTCAGTCTTTGCCCAGCCTCCTCCCCCTTTTCTGGATTATTTCACACCAATTTATTTTAAAATTATTTTAATTTTTCAGTCAACCAAGTGTCCAGTTTACCCTGTTTGTAGCTGTGTAAGCATAGCTCTGTGTCACAGGGCCCTTATTTCATTCGTTCATTCACAATAAACAGATAGGTTTAGTAAGGATCTAGTATGAGCCGGGAATAGTGCTGAGGAAAGAATTGATGCAGGAATCAAAGGGATTTCGACCTTTGGGTAAACATGGCCTGTCTATATCTTTTTCAGTGTGTATAAGAAAATATATCAAAGCCATGGTTAAAACTTTAGGATGAGGCAAAAATATATATGTATATTTTTTGGATGATTGATTTAAATTAAAAAATTCCAGGAGTGGCAGAAAGGGGAAATAAAAGACAAACTTCAGGAAGGTCAAAGGCAAATAAATGAAGTTTGGGAAACACTGCTTTAAGTCAAGACTGCTCACTCTGGACCTGCTCACTCACTCTGGACCATCCCAGCAGGCAGATGAAAGCTGATGGCTAGGCCTGTCTCCAAAGCATGTAAGAATTGTGAAAGGTAGGTGATTTATAGATACTCCACCAAAAAGAGTGCTCTGCACACAAAAATATACATCATTATGGTTTAAAATTAAGTAAATTTTTCCCAGAGGACTTCTCAATGTCTTTAATATGCTAGCACCTATGTGACTCTTAAAAGAGGGACACGGTGTACAGTATTTCCAAAACCTCTATAAGCCCAGAAACCCTTTGTTCCAGTCTATCTTCTGAGATTTGGGGTCTTTAGAGTGACTGGACTCAGGACAGCAGATCTAGGTGATTGCCCAAGATTTACCCCTTTGGTTTGCTTCTCTCTTGGACTTGTATCTTGTCAACCTGGCTCATCTCTTTGTCTCCCAGAACTGAACACCTAGAGTTGCCTAAAGAACTCTTGCTTTTCAGGAAGCTTTCTCCAGACTTGCAAGGTTGTGGAGGAACAATGCATGCAAATATACAAATGTCCTGTTTGGACCAGGACCCTTGGCTTAAACTAAGTCACTCATACTACATTTCTTGAGACTTTAGAACTGAGAAAAGGCCCCGGTATGTAGCTCTGTGATAGAGCAGTTGCCTAGCATCATGCAGAAGGCCCTCGGTTCAGTCCCCAGCAACACACACATACAAACACAGATTGTCTTCTTGGTAAGGGATCTATAATATGTAAATTAGGGAGCTGCTCCAGCCAGTACTTTCTACAGAGAAAGCTGGGAGAGAGAAGGAAGAGGTGAGAGAAGGGGGTAAATATGAAGTAGAAAGACCTTGGTTCCTACTTTCTTTTGAAGCTGGGTTTCATTCCTGTTCTTCACTGTTAAATAAGCCCCCCATTTTTTGCTTAATCAACCCCTGATGGGGCACATGGGACTAAGAGCTCTGCGTGATCCTTGATTCCCAGGCGTTCTCAAGGCCTCTGTGATTCTTTTGGACCTCACTCTGGGATCCTTGGGTCTTGCCACCTGGATGCCCCTTTCTGACATTTTGACCCGGGATGCTGGTACATTCTAGACTTTGCCACTTTTTGGACAGTCATATTTTCTAGCAGTTTTCCCTGCCCATGGAGACTTGCCTAAGGATCTATTGCCTTTTCAGGATTTGTATACCCTCAGAAAAAAACTTGCTTAGTGTTCCATGGAGGAGATTCAGGCTGGTGACCCTGGTAGCAACCACAAACATTCCTTTGCCTGCTGGTAAAGAAACAGTTCAGCAACGGTTGAAAATTGTGGAATTAAAAGGATAGAGCCAACAGGAAAACTGGCAGTCCTTGGATGTTGAAGGAGAGGAAGTCAAGCAACAAGGATTTAGGAGCCTGCAACTGTGGCTATGATGAGAGTATTTTTTCATTTAACCAATATTCCCTGAGGAATGAGGATATAATAGGTATCATGAAGTAGATAGGTCTTGTGCTAATCCCTGTGAATATAGATACTGTACTAATATGACCTAATACCCATTTTGGAAGAGTTTCTAGTCTAATAATGAGATAGATATATTCTCAAACTGTTACCCTAAGGTACAAGAAATAATAGGGAAGAGGTGGCCAGCCACAAGCTGCTATGGGAATTCTGGGTTAGGGGAGGCACATCCTACTCACTGTGGTGATGGCAGGAGCAATATTGGGAAAGACTTCCAGCTGGATACCATTCTTGAAAAAAGAAGAGGGGAAGGCCTGTGAAAGGGGATGATAATTATAGGAATTGAAACAACATGTGCAAAAGCAGAGACTTAGGAGCATAAATTGTTTTAGCTAAGATGGAACAGAAATGTGAAGATACACTGGAGAATGAGCCTGGGAAGGTGAGAGAGCCCTCCCGATGATCTGGAGCTGCTGCCGGATGATAAATGACAGGGCTTTTGAACTGGTATGAGAATAATCATCGCAGCAGAGTGAGAACATTTTCCAGGGTCAGGTAGATTAGTGAGGAGGCCCGTGAATGCCAGGACAAGAGTTTCTGAAGCCTTATTACCCATGGCAGGTCATTTGGAATGGCTGTGAAGATGCAGACTGTGAAGGGCACATCAGGATTTTGGTCTGTGTCCAGGGTACAGCCCAAGGAGAAGGTATGACATCTACTCTTTACAGGACTCTCCCTGTTACAGGATGTTTGGCTAGGGCACCTGCTGCTGCTCAGGCCCAGATGCCTCCAGCTGGAGGACCAGTGGGCAGTGAGGGACAGGCAGAAACTAAGGCTCTAGGAAACACAAAACACCAGAAGACTCTGAGAGTGAGGAAAAACCCCAAGCTGACTCAGCATGACTCCCTAAGGCAATGGAACAGAAGTAGCATCCTCACTCAATAACCAGCAGGCAACAGCTTAGCCAAGGTCAGGTTTTGAAAAGATCTACCTCCTGTCCCCCTGCAACAAGCCCTCCAAGTCCTCAATCCCATCCCTTGTCCCTTCCCAGAGCCTGTTTTACCTGAGTATCTTCTCTCACTTCTCCATGGTCACTTACCCACTTGCTTCCCTCTTTCAGTCGCCCTCCTTGTCCTTGTTAAAAATAATGTCTCACGTTAATTGGTCACTTACTATATACTCTGCCCCATGCTAAGTGCTTCACGTGCATTATCTTATTTAATCCTTGCAATAACCATAGGAAACAGGTATTACTAGTTCCATCATTTTACAACTGAGAAAACTTGGTTTAGGGAATTAGGCGCGTTAATTTGCCCAAGTAGTCTTCTGACTATGGAACCTAGTCTCTGAATCTGTATCCTGCTTTCTAAGTTATCCTTGGGTCACTGTTTCCCTCACCAGTGAGATATTTGGAAAGAACTGTCTATGCTTGCTGCCTTTTCTGCATTATTTCGCATCTCTTGATTACTGTTGATCTAACTTCCATCCTGATCAAGGACTTCCTACTTCCCAAATACAGTAGACTAACAGCCACTAAAATGATTGGCAGCACCAAATATAGGGAACTGTTGAGAATTGGAACTCATCCATGTCAACTAGGAATATAAAAAGTCACAAGACTTTGGAAAGTGGTTTGGCAAATTCTTTAAAAGTTAAAATATACAACTACTGTCCCAGTGATTTCATTTCCACAAGAGAAATGAAAACTCACTTCCATACAAACACTTGTACGTGAATGTTGATAGCACCTTTATAGTAGCCTCTAAGTGTGAACACGTATACACTGTCAAGTGAGCAGATAAAACATGGTATATCCATAAATGAATGTTTGTTTGGTACTGGGGATCGAACTCAGGACCTTGAGCTTTTGAGGCAGGTGCCGGAACCACTGAGCTAAACCCCTGGCCCTCCATAAATGAAATATTATACTACTCAGCAATAAAAGAAATGGATTGCTGATACATATAACAGTATGGGTGAATTTCAGTCATTTTGAGTAAAATTAAAAATCTAGACTTGAGAGTATTATATACAATTGATTGCATTTATATGAAATTCTAGAAATGCAAATAGTGAAGTGACAAAAATGGTCAGAGGGAGGGGGCACCAAAGTGTCACAAGGAATCTTTGAGAAACAATAAAAATGTTCTGTGTTTTGATTTTGTGAGTGTTCTCTTGGTTGTACACAATTGTCAAACTCCACTGAGCTGAACATTATAAATGGATGTAGTTTACTGTATGTAAATTATGAATTATGTATCAATAAAGTTGATTTTTCTTTTTTTTTTTTTT